CCGGGGGGGCCCGCCGCCGCCCCAGGGCTGGCTGGCCAGGACTGTGACTTGGGCAGGGTGCCCGAGACCAGCGGGTAGACCATGTCAAGGCGGCGGCGGACGCGGCGCTTGCGCTGGGTTTGCCAGTTGATCTGGCCCATGGTGGCAAAGTCAATGACGTAGCAGAAGCCAATGGCACTCAGGTCCACCCAGGGGTGCTGCTTCTCATAGGCGCGCTGGATGGTGATGCCCACATCCATGTCGTAGGGCGTCCACGACCCGCTGTCGTTCTCCCACTCCCACACGACTCCCTTGCCTGGCGCTGACGATGGGTCATAGTAGCTGCGCCGGACAGGGCGGATAGTGCCTGAGGGAGGGTGAGAGATGCCGTCACCTGGCGCCGGCACTTACCCGCGGGCAGGGAGCAAAACCACTCCAACCTGCCCCACCGGTGCCGTTCCACATGGTGACAGGATAGCTTTCTGGCTGAGCTGTTGTCCCCACCCTGCCAGGGGACTGGCGTGCCTCGGTTTCCCCAGGCTGCTGCCTGCAAGCCGCCCTGCCACCGGCCCACCCAAAGGGCCAGGGAGCCCCTGGGCTGTACACGCACGGCACTGGGGTGCGTCCCCAGATCGGGGTGAGAGAAGGGCAGATTTCATGGTGGCAGTCACCTTCCCAGCCCCAGCGTGCAGCCACCCAGCCCTGATGGGGAAACACAGAACCACATGCTCGGCCGCTCCAACCTGCTCCCAGGGATCTCCCGTGGGAGCCCAATGACACCAGGCACGTAGGCACCGGACACCTGCAGCGCCCGCCACAGACCTCTCTCCCTCTCAGCTCCAGACTGGGACGGGGGAATAAAAGATTTAAGAGGCAGCTCTGAGCCCCACAGCAGTGACATCCGCTGGGACTCACTTGCACCGGGGAGCAGGGCTTGCACCAGGCACACCATCTGCAGCTGCCAAACTGGCCCATGACAAAAACCCAGCCCATGGCACAGGGAAAATCCCCACAAAGCTGAGCAAAGGAGTTTGAGCAGGGCCCTGTGCCCGGCTCCTGCTCTGCCATCAGCAAGCGTTAAAGAGTGGGATGAGAGTGCAAAGCACGGAGGCTTTGTGGCTTGCATCCTTATTTCTGCTAGGCGTTTCCTTTCCCACCGCTCCCAGCTGACTGGGACGCATTCAGAGGACGATGCAAGTTTTGGAAACACCTACACTGAGGAGAAAGTCTTCCTCTTTTGGATGTTTCACAGCACAGCAGGGCTGGCTGACCATGGCAGGGCTCTGCGTTGGGGCACATCCTGAGCATCCTAGTAGCGCCCAGAGTTATTCGGTTAACAGCTAGGATAAGCTCACGAGCATCGCTGCCTCCATGCTTTTCTGCAAAACCCCACAGCTTGGCCCCACTGACAGACGCAGGAACAAGAAAGCTCAAAGAGAAACAATAATAAGCCTCCTTCTTCGGCTTTTCACCACGTGTCTTGCAAAGCCCGCAAGAATTTCAGTCCCTTTCACTCCCACTGCTCCGCTGGGAGCAGCCGCCACCATTGGTCCCCACACAGGACTGCTTCCCACAAAAAAGTGGACTAAAAAGGAACAGTGGTTTATTAGCACTAATGACAGGCGCACACCAAGCACCCCACTATGGGGAACGAGGTGCAGCTGCACCCCAGGCAAGCCAGGCCACGCGTTCCACGAAGGGGCACCCGGGGGAGAAACGCCACCGGCGTTGGCGGCACAAAGCAGGGCCGGAGGGGAGCAGAGCAGTGATTTATCCTAATCCGGTGCGAGGCGGGGAGGGCGGCAGCAGCGGCAGGCAGCATCTGGCGATCCCCGGGCGGCGGTGTGGGAACGCCGTGCGTCCCCCCCAGCCCAGCGTGGCCAGCCGGCCTCCCATTCAGCACGGGAAGAAAAGGGACAATAGCTATTCAGGGCCTGCCAGGGTCGCGACCCCCCCAAATCAGAACTGTTTAATGACCCAAAATACCAACATCCCCAGCAACCCAGGGAGAGACAGAACAATCCCCCTTTCAGGCCTCCTCCCCAGGCAACAATAGCC